GGTTCTTCGCGAGTCTGAAAACTTCTCTCAACTTTCTTCATAGATTCAAGAAACAAAGCCTTATGCTCTGCTCCAATTTCCTTCTTAAACCTCCCTGGAAATGGAAGAGCAGGTTTGTAAGATGGTGGAGGGATGTAGGGAGCTGCGTTCTCTTCAATGATCAGTTCATGCTTCTGCTTTTGCAGCATCATCATCTGTCTGACTTGGCATGGTAACACAAAAGATGGCATTGCAGAATTCTTTGGGGTTTGCTTCAGGTTTTCCAGGAAATTAAGCTGGGGACCTTGAGGTAGTGGTAATGCCCTTGTTATTCTCTAAATTCTTGACTTTAAAGGCCAAGTGATCAATCTTGGTGTTAAGCTCTCAATATTGGCTATCAATCTTATTGTGGTCATCGGCAAACCTCTTAGCCATGTCCATGGTTTGTGTTACTTGGCCCTCAAGTAGCTGGTGCAGAATCCCATTGATTTCAGACTTGAGCATTAGAGCTAGATGCTTGTCCTTATTGGGCAAAGGCTGGTTTGGGCTGAAAGCTGTTATAATTCCCTTGATAGTTGTTCTAAGGTGTAAACCCTTGTTTCTGATTATAGGGAACAAAAAGTTTTTGTTGCATGCCTTGGCCATTATGATGAGAACCTTCAAGCTGAACCAGATTTAACCAAACCACAACTTCAAGATACTCAAGAAGTAGAGCTTCCAGTTGAAGTTAAAGGAGCTATGGCAAGACAAAGAGCTAGAGCCTTGCAAGACAAGTATGATCGAGCTCTTCTTCAAGCCGTTCAAAACATACAAGAAGAACCATTAGATAAGCATTGGACCGGACTTTGTGAGGACGTTCAAGGAGAAAATACTACAAGCCTTATAAAGGACGAACTTTGGCCCATACTACCAAGACAAACCCAAGTAAAAATCCTCACCATCACAAGAGAGGATCATATCACCTAAGTAAGTCACTTGGTCAAGATTAAGCTTTCAAAAGCCATTATGGGATCTATTATTCATGCCAATCACTCTACATGCCAATCACTCTACATGCCAATGGTTAGAAAGGTAAGCATTTAAACATATTTCATTAAACTTATATCTTGACTAATCATATCCTTTTCTCCTTGTGATTTTCATTAGTCTTAGATTCTAGATTTTCTCTTTGAATGCACTTTTGTATTTTCGGTTTACACTTTTGTATTTTTATCTTATTTTGTCCTAAAACTGAAGAACCCCTTTATAAGGTTCCCCTACAGCATTGTAGTCCAATACTTTTGATTTTATTAATAAAAACGAGTAGTTCTTTTCCTTAAGATTCAGGAAAAACTTTTTCTTTCTCTAAACACTTGTCGAGACCAGTCCTCCATTGTTTGAGAAATCCCTTGTGCTTTATCAATGGCCTTACACAGCCTTTGTGGTACACCTCGCTCCACCTCGTTCCAACGTTCATCAAGTTTCCTAGTTTAGTAACAAGCATGAATTGCAGGTTTCATTGACGCCAAGACCTTCTCAGCAAGGTGATTGTCCATATTTTCAACTTTTCCAGTCAACTCCTTCATTATTTCCATAATTCCAACGATTGCCTTCTCAGTTTTGGATGGAACTCTCATGTTGCCACTGTTTTGGCCAACGTTTGTCTTGTTCTTCTCCACATAACACGCGTCAGATACCTACATAATTATCAATCGCAATAATCCAGTAACTTTGCTAACAAAGATGTCAAAATTATAAGAATATTAGGAGATTGTACTCACCTCAGATGTCGATGCTTCAGCGGAATGTATTTTCGCAGCTTTCTTCATTTTTGATGATTGTTGAGGTACATGACGCTTCTTGCTAACTGAAGCTTCAATGATATCCTAGGCATGTGTATCCAATCGATTCTCACGTATATCTGCAATCAATTTATTGACCTTCACATCCTGGTTATCTCCATCCCATGATTTATATATATCATCACCCTCTCTTTCAACAAAATGCCTCACACGAACCTGAGAAAATATGTAACCAAGACTAAGTAATTGTTGCAAAAATAAAGTGAGATTTCAGTGAATTCATTACCTTATTTTCATGATTTTGCTTCTCATTTGTGATGAATTCTTCAAAATCGACTCTTGGGTGAGATCCAGCATAGGAAAGAAGAGGAACTTCAGCACGAATAAGTTTCTTCCCATAACGTTCAGCTAATCAAAGAATGAACTTGTACACCCATATAAGAAGAAGATGGACACATCTTTAAATTGTATTTGACTTCTTAACGCCATAAGTTGAGATCTTAATAGACTGAACAAGGTTATTAAAACCAACTCTTCCCCAAGGATAGCTTTCAAAAGCTTCCGGATCAAGAACTCTTTTCACTAGCTCTAGAGGAATCCTACTAGAAGCTGAGATCCCAAGGATTCCAATCGAAAGTATACACAACCATCCTACTATTTTCCTCTTCTCAAAACTCCAGTCTTTACATATGTCCAAGACCACTTGCAACTCATCCAAAGAAGGTCCAACCGATGTAGAAACATTCATTTCTATCCAAAACGCTTTATGATCAGCATCCCATCTGTCATTCACTTTAAAAGGAGCACAATTCAGGCCTGTAATCTCCTCAAACTCATACAAAGAAAATTGGATAGGCTGACCATCAATTGATGACCATATCTTATAAGGGTCCATAATAGCCAACTGATGTTTAAGCAAGTACTCAACAGTCTTGGATGACCATATGTAAGTGACATCTCTATGCTTCACAATAACTGCAACTGAAGAAGCCTTCAACGCATTCCACACATCATTTCCAACTCCTTCATAGACCATTTGAAAATTGGACAAATAGCAGTTGAACTTTTTAGCCTATTAGGAGCTTTTATCCCTTCACATAGCCTTGGAGGATATCTGTTTTTCCCATTTGATGAAGCCATATCTACAAAAAAATAGAACGATCATATTAATGTGTGACAAACGCACATAAGATTTTTGACAAGCAATTACTACGAATTGATCAACCAAAGATTTTCCAGAAATTACTAGTTCTACATGAGTGGGGAAAAATGAATTCAAGTTCAGGGGAAATTCAAATTCACATGAGTGGAAATCACAATCACCTAATGAATCACGAATTGAAACCGGATGTAGTTTTTGAAACCAAAAGGAGGGTCGGACATTCTACTTAAAATTATTCTAATGATAGAGAATTTACCTGAACAAATGGAAGAAAACGAAGACAGTAGAAAGTTTTGCCAGGTGGAGACGACGAGATGACAGCAAGAGCGAGACCATCGGAGTTTTCTGAATCGACAATTTGGCGACGGAAGATACACTGAGAAAGTACCAGGGAATCGGAAACGAGGAAGGAGAAGCAGGGACTCGCCGGTGAGAAATTTCGATTTCTAGAACCAGAGACGAGGGAGAAGAAGCAGGGACTCGCCGACTATGGAGAATTTCGATTTCAGGTGTAAGATTCGTCGGCTGCGAGAGAAACCCCGATTTTGCATATATGTTTCTTATTTTTGGTTTTTAATCTTATTTAATTATATTTGATTTATATTTTAATTTAGGGCAATTTCCATAATTACACTGAAAATAAGTTTTCAGGACAAATATAACAGGGAAGCTAAAATTTTTCCACCCCTAATATTTTTCATTTGAGTTTTCCGATTTTACCCTTTAGGAAAGTCTTCCTAAATATTTTTTTCTGTTAATGTTGCGGGATTTTTTTAGGAAGGTCTTCCAAATACTAGAATTTAACATCGTTTCATATGGTTTATGAAAGCTTTCCTAATTTTTAAAAAAAAATCTGAATTGTGGAAGGACTTCTTTAATTGTGGAAGGGTTTACTGAATTGTGGAAATACGTTCTGAAAAGATTTTTTGAATTTGAGTTGTATAAATTAAAAAAAAATAATAATCAATTATACGATTTACGAAGGCATTCCTAAATACATGTAATGACTTCCTTAATTTATATATTTTAGGAAAGTCTTCCTAAAACTTTAGATTATCTTCCTAAATTTATGTTCATCTCCTTCCTCACTTCTGCGATATCCAAACTCTAATTTCTACTGATTACTTTTTTTTCACCATTGTTGTTGTTTTAGTTCGGGTTTCTTGAGTTTTTCACTCAATTATATCAGATCCATCTATCATTATATGATTTTGAGCTTTAAATCCTGAAATCATTAAAAAACCTTAAAGATCTAAGAGATTCACAATCACAAATCATAATCAAATGAGAAGAGAGATCCTAAACAAAACAAATAATTCAAATTTCAGATCAGTTTTGGCCACTGATATATTTGTTTGTACATTATTATTTTTTTTTATTATTAACTAATGTTTTGTCTAACTAAAATTAATATGATACAAAATGTTATGGAATAAAATTTTTAGAGTGTTAGTGTATACATGGAACAAAAACTTAAATCATGTGTATTTGAGGAAATTTCTCTTTAATTTTTTTAGTGTAAATTAACACTAAAATGGCATAAACGTAATTATTAAATGTATTATTAAATATCATTTTTTGCAAAAAATATGTGTTATTTTAGTAAGTACTCTTTGTTAAATGTTATTCTAGTAATAGAAAGGAATTTTTGTGCTAGTTTAAGTAATTCCTTTTTTTAATTTTTTTTTTTTTTTGCTAACTGAAATTGTTCATATGTTTTATTGCCCCATGTAGATGAGGATACTTTAACGATGCAATAAATATGATTTTAAGTGTCCTTAGGTCAACTGGAAAAATACTTTAGGCAAAACATAGAGGTTAAAAGATCAAGTGACGCTTGGGGCAAACCTCATATCTATTATATAAAGACTGGGTGTGTTTAACGAGAGAAACCTCGGCATTTTTTTTTTTAATTTTCGTGTTGCAGAATGAATAAAGAAAAAGTCTGGTAAAATCATTAATCATTTCAGTCAAAGTAAAAAAAAAATATTCCGAAGCGTCCCCTTCCATAATTAAATCACTCTTATCTTTTCAATAAAAAATTTGTTAAATTGAAATCAAAAATTGAGAGAGATGAGGAGACGACGAGCAAAGAGGAATCGATCAGAAAGCAAGTTTGACGGCAATGCCGCTTTCACCGTCGGCGGTTTTCATGCCTTCACAGACAACTACGCAAGCGCCTAACTACGAAAGCAAGTTTGTCCTCTCTAATCTTCTTCGCTATGGTATCCATTGCCTCATCAGTCATCACCATACGAATCTTCTGCTTCTTGGAATCTGATCCCGTAATAATGGAGCCAACTCCATCGCAACTGCCGTGGTCAGTGATTAGATATTAACTTCATAAGATCCATTGATTCTTAACAAGGAGAACACATGTTGTTGTCCTCGATTGACATCTGTTTCTAAAACGTTTCGTTTCTCTAATTTTGATTTATGTTTGCTTCCTTTGATTTATCTAAACGTTTCTGAGATCTGGTTTTGATTTCAGTTACAAACTATTTCTGTAAAACTCTGACTGCTACTGATACAAGCACTCATGGAGATTTCTCTGTGCCTCGCCGACCTACTGAGAAAGTTTCCCCTCCCTTGGTAATTCATCTTCTCGGTAGTCTCAAGTTTATTCTTTAACTTAGCTATATTTCATCTGTTTGACATGCAGATGTTATGTTATGTGTTCTTCAGGATTACTCTCACAAGCTTCCAGCTCGAGAGGTAATGGTGAGGGATCTGCACGATAACAAGTGGAAATTCTGGCATATTTTCCGAGGTTAGTTTTCTTGTGAAAATCCAAGATCTTTAGTAATAATCAAATTATCAAAGAACAGAGAGGATTGCTTACTCTGTATTTGTTTCTCCTTTTCAGGCCAACCAAAGGGACACCTCCTTAATACATGTTGGAGCGTGTTTGTGAATACTAAAAGGCTTGTCACTGGTGATTCTGTGCATTTCATCTGGTTAGAGAAATGTCTTCAAAGTTTATTTTTTTATTTTTTAATGATACTTGTGAATCTTGGTAGTTATTGATGCCTTTTTGTTATTAACCACCAGGAACGATAAGAATCAGTTACTTCTTGGTATAAGACGAGCCAGCCGGCCACAAACTGTCATGCTTTCATCTGTTTTGTTAACTGACAGTATGCATTTAAGCCTTCTTACTGCTGCAGCTCATGTAGCTGCTACAAACAGCCGATTCACCATCTCCTATAACCCGAGATACGGTTTTGAGATCCCATATGAATGCACATTCGTGTTGTTTCTTTGCATTTGGTGATCAAGAACCCCTGTTTTCTTCAGGGCGAGTCCATCAGAGTTTGTAATACCTCTAGCTAAGTACGTGAAAGCGGTTTATCACACTTGTGTCTCTGTTGGTATGCGGTTTAAAATGTTGTTTGAAACCGAAGAATCAAATGTTCGTCGATAGGTGAATTATCAGTCTTCCTTATCCATTACTCTGTTTTCTTACAGCTGAATGTCCTAAAGAATCTTTATTTAATGTCAAGTACATGGATACAATAACTGGCATTTGTGATCTGGATCCTACTCCTTCGACTAACTCTCATTGGTGGTCTGTTAAGATTCAGTTAAAAAACCAAACCTTTATTAGAAAATCTTTGCTCTTCTTGCATATATATTGTCATCATCTTGATCGCATGATGCAGGTTGGATCGGATAAGTTGACTGGAGGAGAGAGGCAACCAAGGGTCTCCTTGTGGCAGATTGAGCCTTTAACAACATTCCCAATGTATCCTTCTCCTTTTCCTCTCAGGCTGAAACGTCCATTGCTTCCTGGTCTCCCATCGTTCCATGGTATTGTACAATTTCAAAACTTGATTCATCCCTCTAAAGAATTTTCCATTTTTATATCTTCTAATCTTCTTGCCTCTCATTTGTTTTAGGTCTTAAAGAAGAAGATATGCGTATTGGTATGAGCTCGCCGCTTATGTTTGTGTTGTTGTCTCTGCTTTCTCCATGGATGAGAGTTTCAACTTTGGAAGGTATTTTTTTTTTTTTTTGCAGTTTTTCTCCTTTCAAATTATGATTATTTGGACACATAGAGAAGTTAATTATCTTTAATCTTGTGTTTGTCTTTGTGAAATTAGCTTTGCGGGAATGGCGTAGATGTTTGGAGGACTCTATTTCGTTCTTAGAACAGAGTTTGATCTTGAAAAGCCTCCCTTGCATTAAAAGCCTTCTTTTCTTAATGTTCATGTGAATATATTTTAGGTTTAAAGAAAGTAAGATCAGATTTACAACAGATAAAAGAACCATATAGAATAGATGTATCCCGTCTTACTATGTATACGGTAGTATATGTGTGTTTGTGATATAAAAATAGCTGGTCATAAAAAAGATCCCATAGAGGTGAAGGGAAAAAAAAAACCTAAACGAGTTATTTAATAAATATTTTTATATTATCATCGACAACTTTCGGTTTAGATAAAATGTTTTCGAATCGAACCGAACATAACTCTTCAGTTTATAAAAGTTGTCTTGCATAACATTCTTTAGATCTATATTTTATTACACTAAAAAAAGTAATACTGATATTTGAATATATTTAAATAAGATTATTGAATATTAAAAATGATCATGCTGTACTGTTTAGAGAAAAAGTGATGGGGGTATTTTTTGTTCCCGCCGTTTCTTTTATCAGTTTACTTTTTTTCAACATCTTTTTCATAATCTGATTTCGTTGTAAATTAATAATAAAACAATAATTTATAGATTTTCCTTCTTTCTGAAGATTTGTAGTTTTTTTGTTCAATAAAGGTTCTCAAATAAAAAGATCACATATTATAAAATAGCAGAATTTACATATGAAAACTGTATTGGAAAACCAAAGATTAACACAAATAATTTTTTGTATTTTATTAATTATGAAAACTAATATAACATTTACTGATGGTTAAATACATGAAATGAGAATATATACAAAAAACAAAGTTTACTTCTTCTTTTAGAAAATAATATAAACAAAAAATATAATATAAGAAAACATAAATAATTGTGGCTAATTAAGATAGATATATAAAGGGAAAATGCCTTAAAATTTTAAACACAGACTCTTGATCAGAATGTTGGAAAATATAAATTACAGTAAAAATTATTTATCAAAAAAATGTATTATATGAAACTAATAAATTACATATCCACTGATTTCAAATTTACTTATTTGTGAATTTGACAAGTTTACTTCTTCTTTGTTGTTTAATTAGTTTTAGAAAAAATATATATATATTAACAAAATTACCTCAAATCATATAACATGATGAATATATTGAATTATCAAACATTATTTCAATGTTATTTTAGCAAGTATTATATATACGTGTAAAATGTGCAATATTTTAACAGAAATAAAATCAGATATATTTTAACTATATTAGAAAATACTATAACAAATAGATCAATTCTTATATGTAGTGCATATATGTTTGAATAAAAACATACAATCTACAATCAATTTTATCTCAATGCAAGCATATATGCATGTTTTACAATACATCCAATCAACCAAAAACCTAAAGAATTCTTTAAATGTCAAACAGTTTTTATCTTTCTGGATATAATAGAATTTTTTTTTTTTTTAGAATTGTCAATTTATTAGCAGATTCTCTTATAAACAAAATCGTACATTTCTTTTGTTATTTGGATTTTAATTTAAATTCAAAAATGAATTACAACAATATTTAAATTAAAATATTATATTAATCATCTAAAATATATAATAAAATATAAACCCGTGTGTATACACGGGTCATTACCTAGTTATATACTAAAGTTTCGGGTGTAAGAGATTTGTGAATTTCTTCTACCAAAAGGTAATCCAAAACAAAAAAAACCAAAAAAAAAAAAAAGAATGAGTGTACATGAAATCAGGTTTTGAGAGAGAAAGAGAGAGTGGAAAAAATTGTACAACCGAAAAAGAAGATTATTGTAGAGGTACTATATGATACATTCATGTCAACATTGCAAAATTAGTGGAATATTTATGAATCGATAATTTCAAGCCAAAATGTTTACACATATATATTGTTTATTCTAAAAGAGAAACTCTAAAATAATATCTATCTCAAATCAAATATTACATGAGCAAAAGAGAGATTAATAATTTCTTACATTTTGAGTAGTTTCTCCATTTTGGTCACAAGATATTTCTTTAGTTGTATGAAATAAATAGTAGATTATCGCTGTATATAAGTCTCTTTTTTTTTTGACTGACGCTGTATGAAAGTCAATGATCATTTAACACATCAAATTATCATAACAAAGAAATACTACAAATTATACGCAGAAAAAAAAAGAAAAAAAAAGAAATACAAATTATACTATCACTGACACTTGAAAAATTCAAAGATAGAGAAAGGCAAACAAGAAAGTCATAGAATCAATCCGTAAATATAATTTTTAACTTTAATCTTTAAAAAAAATTCTTTAACTTTAATTTTAAATATCAACCGCAAAATATGTCATTCCGTAAAATCAACCGCAAAATATGTTATAAGATGAGATCTACAGTAATTTTATGTAGTAAAAGTCGCGACATGGCTCTTGAAACAGAAATGTCCAACACCCACCATGTATTATTATCTCTAAGTTTGTTTGTTTTTCAGAACTAATATGTGACCCAAAACAAAACAAAAACCGACATGACTAAAACATCTCTATCTAAACATCATCGGAAGAGTCGAAGTTGTCAATTTTCAGAGGAATGATGTCATCTGCAACTTTAAACCCTCCGATGACTCGGGCAAAGAACACCATTTGTTGCTCCAATGTGTATTTTATGTTCTCCGCCTGTTAACCAGATTATATAAGTTTTACTATTATGATCCATAAGACTTGTTATTATATTTGCAAGTAAACATCAAAGCCTTACCTTGCGAAAACCGTGTTGTTCTCCTTCGTACTCGACAAGAGCAACAGGCAGACCTTTACTCTTCAACGCTTGATAAATTTTACGAGATTGATCCGGCGTTACAACCTGCAACGTATTCAGCAGATCGTATCCAATGATATAAGTGGTTCGTATAACAAAATGGTGAACAAAAATCTAGAATTTAACAACATTATCAAGAATCCAGAAGATGATGAATTTTAGTTTTCACAAAAGAGGGATAAAGAACTGCCAACTGAAAATGCATTGTCCATACTCAAGAGGCGTAAAAGAGTTTCAAAAGAGAAACAAGAGTGGCAAAATTTAAGAACCTTGTCTTCCAAGCCTTGGAAAAGGATTATGGGGCAAGAGAATTTATCGACGAAGTTGATTGGTGATCTCTCGTAGAAATCCTTTTCATCTCCTGTAATTTAGTGCTAAAGAATTTTACTACCTGATCCAAAAAACCTAAAGCAAAGATAAATGCGTTTTGACTTACCAACAAGATTGTCGATATAGCGGGATTCGAACTTATGACCTTCTTCTTTCAACATTTTTAAGTCGGCCACCTGCATTAAGAAAATCCAAACGAATATGAATTATCAGTTGTTTGTAATACAACATGTAGTTGAAGAGAGAACTTTGGTTTGAAGTAGAAAAATCCTGTCACAATATATATAGTAGGTAACAATAGAATCTGCAAAAGTATGGTGTAAAGTGATCTTTGATTCAGTAAATGAGCTTGAAACCAACTATCGTATCCCACCATTAGGAACAGTCAAATTACCCACTATCTTCAAGATTATTCATAACAATACAAACTGCACTAAACTCTTTGATCAAAGGCTTTATGGTATCTCTCAATTTCAATAAGCTCAATCCATCTGAATTCTCTTTGCTGATGTCTCTATATTTGAAGATTTATAATGAAACTTATTCCAATAAATAACTAAAGAACTGAGACGGGGAAAGAAAAGTAATTTAGCAAAATGTTTCCTCAAATGCAATGGTACTGTACTCTTACCCCGTATAAGGACGCTCCAGCCTTGAATACGTCTCTGAACGCTAATGCTGCAAGAGTCGTATAACCTCCTGCAGAACCTCCAGATATACAGAGCCTCTTAACATCTGCCTTTCCCAAAGATACCTGCCAAAACCAAAAACTTTTTGTAATTTGCTTCCAAATTTGTTTAACATAGAACAGAGCAAAGAAAACAAACATACCAAATATTTAGCACAGCCACAGCAGTCATCAACGTCGACAATCCCCCACCGCTGCAACAACCGCTCTCGATACTCTCGACCATAACCTTCAAGATAATGTTACACGCTGTCATAATAAACTAAAGTTTGTGTGCCGACACGGTGAGAATGGGACATCCAAAACAGGATGACATAAGACGAAATACTTTAATGAGACTAGCTAATATACGAAAAGATGCAACTGTAGAAGTGTAACAAATAGCATTGGAGTTACAAAATTGTGGAGAAAATGCAGCTAAAGTTTGTAACTATACAAGTGTAACGAATAACATTGGGGTAGTGGAAGATATAACTTGGAACCAAAACAACAAACCTGTGCTTCCACCATAATTGACATCAACATATGCCCACCCTCGACTTGTCCAGTACTGGATATTCAGATTTAATGATCCACGTGATTCAGCAGTAGGTCCTCCTGCAGATTCAGATCATCAACAAAAATTATTGATGTGGCATGTTACATCTGAAAGCAATATTTATATATTGTGGCTAAACAACATACTAGAAACAAAACATGATTTAACAACGAACAAGTTAGAAATTGAGGAAACAAAATTGGGAAGTGGTAATTTTAGCATTACCATGACTCTTCACTAGCAACGGAGGTTTCTCTTCCATGCTACCATGGTACAGTGGATTTGTTGGAGGATAATAGTAAGCATAAGCGTTCTGACCAGGAGCCTCTGTTGGAAACTCTATTAACTCTGGCACGCTGAAGAAATCTTTGTACTTCAAAACATCGGGTGAAGAAGACCAAACAATCTCAGAACTGACTGCTTTCATCTTATGCTGATCCAGTTTCACCTGTTAATAAGAGAAACTGTAAATCTACTGCTACTGCTACTGCTGTTCTACAGAGACAATTTACTCGCAAAATCCTAAAATGCGTATCATGTTCACCTTAGCAACTGATGGTGGAAGAACAGCTGATGCTCCCTCAACAAAAAGGCATTGATTTCCCAATGTCTGAAAATTAAAAGAACAAATTTTTCAATTACTGTGGGATTCGATTGGGAATTGATGTCACAAATTACAAGAGGATAACAGAAATTCTATATTACGATGCTGTCAAAATCGGTTAGAGGAGTATCGAGCAGAGAACATGAACCCTTCGAATCATCCAAAATGCCAAGATATGACTTTCCTTTCTGCCTGCATTCAGGAAAATTAAATTGCTATCAAAACAGAAACACATTTTTTCCAGCGCAAATATATATGGAATATCAGAGAACGGATGAAAGAATTTGAAATTTGTGTCTGTTCGGTATATTACCTATAGCTACATGCAATTATGTTCTTCCCTTCAGAGCAATCGATTATTTCATAGGAGTTTGTACCGAAAACCCATAGTGGTTTTGCAAACTCGCCATCGAGAGGATATACAGAAACAACCTCATTGGTACTTTCAATCTATGACACGAATAAAAACAGGAAAGACAAATATAAGGAGCAATGTAGAAATCTTCTTCGAGAACAAAGTTTCTAATTTCAGAGTATTGCTATTTGCTAGTCAGCTTTGTAAAAATCCCAGAACAAATATTTCCTCCATACTTTTACCATTATTGAAACTAAAAGTAACTAAAACTGGCAAATGGAAGAGGTTATTTACCCATTTATGAATATTCCAAAATCCGTTCTTTCTGTCAGTTACAAAAAAGAGTTCCCCTGCATAATAAAGTCAGAGAGTCTCAGGTCAATCGAACAATGAGACATACCAAAGATTGACAGAGTTAAATTACCATCTTTACTCTAATAAAACATACAATGGTTTGGATAACAATCATGATGACATCCATTGAAAGACTATAGTTTCAGCTAATACTTCCAAGGATTGCTTAACTGCTAAAAATAGTGAAGATATGAAATCCAAGGCACAATAGCACATGCAAGGAAATTGTAGATCAACCTTTCCCCAGTCACAATCTTTGTCACTGGGTTAGAAGAAGAAAGATGATTGCAAGTTTGCAAGTTTGCAAGGAGTGGAAACAACAAGAGATCAGAGAGAAGAATGATATTCATTTTATGTAAGAGACCTAAAACGGCTAAAACTTATGAGAGAAGTTCAACTGCTAAACAACGAGAAACATATAGAAAGTCGTAAAATCCAAGGTCAACCTCTAGAATTGCATATAATTTTTTATTTCAGAGGCTTCCACAATCGTAGTAGCTAACTAGAGTAATTTTATGTATATATATGGCAAATACCTCTTGATGACCACTTTGGCTCAGTGGGTGATTCGACATATTTGGGGTCACAACCAGCAACACATACACGTTTCCCAATATTTCTGCAGCAAACAATCTAATTAGGGAGAGACCATCAGATCAGTGCATTTGAAAGAATATAACTAGCAAATACTCACCCTTCCTCAGAAATGTACCCAGCCCACAGCTCTGCTTTATCCCAAGGCATATTAGGGTGACTCCATTCAATCCACGCTAGTCTCTCACACTTGGAGTCCAACCGTGGAAATGCATAGAAATCATTGCCACTCACAAGTACTTTTGGTTCTGGTTAAAAAATATATCATAAAGAACATCAATGATTAGATGTATTAACCCATATAGAAAGTTGGAATCAAAGACTACATAACGCCGCTTTAACATAAACCACATTCGAAGCAAGTAAATTATCTACCTTCAAGTGTCTGTCCACTTAGATTAACCTCCACAATCGTCGTAATTGGGTTTGATCTGTCCTGGCGACCATCTTTAAACTCCAGAAAATTAGTTATTAGCTAAATCGACACAAACTAAAACTCTGAAAATACTAAACAGTAGAGACCAACCAACCTTCCCTAACAGTGATGTAACGGTTAAAGCGTGAATCAAAGACTCCATCAGCATAAGTAACAGCTGGTGAACCATAATCTGGAGTAATCGGACTCGGGGATGAATCTGAAATTCAACAATCCAGTAGAACAACATCAGAACTGTAGCTTCCGAGAAACTGAAATCAGCGAAAAAGGTTTGTTAATTATATCACCTTTGTCAGTGATATCTTGCTTGTAAAGTCGCTGATCTTTGTAATTGGAGAAAACAAGTTTGTCCTCTGATGAAATCCGGAAAGCACCACCACCGTATTCTTGAGTTAAAGTCCTCACAGCGAACTCTTTTGGTGTAATATCAATTGGTTCATCTCCAGTTTTTTCTCCTTCCACAACCAAAACCCCTCTCCTTCAAAAATCACGAAACCGGAAGCTCGAATCAAATTAGGTTTTCAATTGATGTAATTTCAAATATATGGAATCTAGTAGAGATACCCTGATTCGTTGGGGCGAGACTCGAGCCAGACGAGACGGCCACGAGAATCGACGGATGTGCCGCCGAGACGCTTTGAAGCACCGGAAACGATGTCGGCGGTGATCGGAGATTTCCAGGAGCCGTAAGGAGCGGTGGTTTGAGGAGTCTCAGCAGTGTCTGGGGAAGAAGAAGACGACATGGATGCGGAAGAGCGAGATGGTTTGAGGGAAAAGAGATTGAATCTTCTGATGGAAGAGGATGGAGAAAGGAAGAGACGGTGAGCGTAAGAGGAGAAAGAAGAAGAAGAAGAAGAAGAAGAAGAAGGGAAACGAGTGAGTGAGACAAAGTGATTGAGTGAGGTCGAGACCGCCATTTATTTACTCGTCATCTTCTACTTTGTTTTATTGTTTTAAAGAGACGTTGTTTGACCGAAACCAAAAAATAAAAGAAACGTTTGGTATTTGTTCATTGGCCGCAATAAGTCACTCCCTATACTAAAGTCTAGACCTAGCAAACAAAAAAAAACCTAGAATGCTTTGATTGATACCATGTAGTAGCAGTTGTGAATTGTAGAATTATGAAGAGAAATGATATATAAGTACATAGAGAATCATATAAAGATCTCGTGAGATTAATGCATGTACATAATCATAAAACTGCACATATTCTGTAACATGTCACACATCTTTTATTCGTTGTACCTTCAGAAAAAAAAACTTAAGAGAGCATCTTATGTAAAAATGGACGAGCTTTGCAAACGGCTTGCAACGGAATAGCTTTAGGTACTGTATTACCAACGCCTTCCGTCATATCCACTTCTTCTTCACCAACTCTCTCCCACTCAAAACATTGTATCAATGACCCGAGAGCAAGCCCTATGATCCGTTGGGCCAGGCCCGACCCAGGACACGCTCTTCTCCCTAATCCAAACGCCATAAGCTTTTGTGTTTCCTCTTCTTTCTCAAACCGCTCCGGTTTAAAGCTATCCGGATCATCCCACGTTTTTGGATCCCTATGTATGGCCCAAGCATTCACCAACAATGTTGTGCCACGTGGCATATCATAGGACCCCACCTTGCAATCTTCTGATGCCATGTGTGGGACTAGCAATGGTGTTGCTGGGTGTAGCCGGAGAGTCTCGAGGACGATGTTCTTGAGATACGGTAGCTCGTTGAGATCTGATTCTTCAATAAACCGGTCTAAACCAACACGGTTATCGATTTCGGTTCTCGCTTTACGTATTACGTCAGGATGGTTTAGCAAATTGGACAATGCCCATTCTAGAGTGACAGCTGATGTGTTAGTCCCTGCTATTACCATAATCTTTATTCACATACAGAGTAGTTTTAAATTAGTCATAACATCAAACAATCCAACAAAAGATATCACAATTAATAGACAAAAATAGAAGAAGAAAGAAGTAAACCAGTATGATGCCTTTGATGATTTGATCGGTGTAATACTCAGTATCATTTTTTTGGAGAAGAAGCAAATGATCGATCATTGTATTACCGGTTTCTTGTTGTCCACGTTTATCATCGATAAGACCTTGTAAAAACTTATCAGTCTCTTGCCCTAATTTTTTAACCCTTTTCTCATAACTTGAGAATGGTCTCAAGATCGGAACGTAGTCAACGGCGTTGCCTGAACACGTGTTGGCTCCAACATCTGCCACTAACTTTCGGACACGTTTTGCTTCTTCCTCATCCGTTGTATCTTCTCCGTAGTATCGTTTTCCGGTCATCATTCTCATTATGTTGTTGAATGTCAAGTCGATAAGCATCGGTTTCATTTCCACAACGGATTTTTCAGTTCCTGCAGATAATTAGAACAAAAAAATTGAATTTCGGTTGAATGAGAATACACAATATGTAGAGTGAACAGAGCTTCTTCTTCATTTAAGATGATAAGGATTTATTATTGATATTACTATGTAAAATGTTTTTAAGATATGTATATTCTAACAATAAATATTATAATCATAACTTTAGAAAACCAACTTATTCTAATCAATTAAATGGTTATCTCATCAAAGATTCATACATGTCCGGTCCAAAACTTACGTAGAGAAAGAGCCTATTATTTTTTAGGCAAGTTTTAAAAATATAACACAAATTTTCAATGAAACGTTAAACCGGACTTGGTTTCATATCATCCACATGTGCCATTCTTCCAACTTAAATGGTGGTTCGAAGCTTAAAAAAAATGTGGCCCATTCATAAATTTTTTTTATAACAAAAAAATGTACCATATAGACTTAAAATTTAATACAATGGCATATATTTATTATCGCTCTGGTCCATAAAAAATGGTGGCCCGCTTATACTATGGCCGGCCCTCATTCTTGCATACAATTAATTTTAGATGTTCGTGGTCAATATAATATTCATATATATGTAACGCCAAAATATTGAAAAGTTGACTAAATCAACAAATTTTCTTATTGTACAAAAATACACGTAGTGCATATATACCTGCGGCACGGAAGAGACGGCTTACGAGGCGGCGTACTTCGTCGGTACGGACAAAAAGAAAGCAGTTAAGGCGGTGTGTGGAGAATATTTCGATGGTGCAGAGGCGACGAAGGTTGCGCCAGTGATCACCGTAAGGTGCGGCGATCATGTTCGTGTTGTCGTACCCAACGTGTTTCCCGATGATAACCTGAGGCCGGTTGGCTAGAACGACGTCGTTCTTTCCAAAGCACTCCTCCGCTGCGATCGTATGTGAGGACACCACGTAGACTAGGCGGGATCCAAGTCGGAGAGCCATCACGCCGCCGTCGCCGTCGAGGGATTCGGAGAGGGAGCGGAGGGTGCGGTGGATAGGCGGCCTCAGGAGACGGAGGTGGCCTATCACGGGCAACCATCCCGGCGGAGATGGAGGAAGATTCTGTTTGTTTGGTTTCAAGAACTTGAGAGAGATAATCAAAAAGATGAGAGAGGAAATGGAGTAGAGAACAACTTCGATGTAATTTTCTTCCATTGTTTTGGTCCTTTTCTTTCTTAGTTGTTTGTCACCCTTTGTCGTTAGACAAGTTGTATATGAAGTGTTAAGTGGTTATATGGTTTGAATTTCGGCACGTTGGGAATTAGGTTTTAATAATATATACGAAATGAATGTTGACGGCTGTGGACCTGTGGTCTAATGAGATTGGAGTTGAGTAATGCTTTAAGCTATGTGATGTGATGGGATGAGACCAAATAAGCTGCATCGTTAGGAAAATATGTACTAAACATACAATATATTATAACGTTGTTAAATATTACAAAAAGTCATCGATTGATAAAAACGAGAATTGCCGAATATGACTTAAAATTTGAATTGAAATGTAAAACTAGACTTTTTATTGCATGTTTGACAAAAATAACTCATAGGGTTAGTGAAATTACAACTTTAACCTTTATGACCAAACAAAAAACGCCAATCTTAATTACTATTTTAACCCAGAGAAGTCTACTCTTTAATAATATGTTTACAGTTAATTTTAAAAATCATAAAAGATAATTTGATAAAAAAAAAAATTAGATACATAACAACAAATATATACTTTTTACACCTATTAAAAATAAAATTTGACAGAAAATAATCAATTTAAATCATCATAGTAAATTAAGATAAAAATCAATACTAAGAGACTTCTCGAGTAGACTTCTCGGTTTCTCGAGTAGACTTTTGGAGAAGTCTACTTACACAAATTTTTTTCTACCTAATTGTATTAACAATAAAGTCTCTCTCTATCTAAAAAACGCCTCTCTCTCTTCTCCCTTCTCTCTGACCATGAATTTCTTCTCCTTCCTCTCTTGCTATCAATATCCTCTCCATCATCTCTATCTTGCATTCAACCTCCTCTCACTTGCAGGTTATGGTAGTGGTAAGCAAATCTGAGCTTTTGTGTTCCTCTTTTTGTTTGCTTTGTGTTCATATTGCAAATCTGAGCTTATTATTATAGATTTGAGCATATTGTTGTAGATCTAAGTTTATTTTTGTAGATCTTAGTTTATTATTGTATAAATTTTGTAGATTTTGTTAATTTTTGTTATTATTGCAGAGCTGAATTTTGTTAATTTTTGTACAGATCTGAATGTTATAAATATAGTAGATTATTATTATAGATCCGAGCTAAGTAGTTTAGATTTGAGTTTATTGTTGTAGATCTAAGTTTATATTTGTAGATCTGAGTTTATTGTTGTATAAATTTTATAGATTTTGTTCTAGATCTAAATTTTTTGTTATTGTTGCAAAGCTGAATTTTGTTGATTTTTTTGCAGATCTGAATGTAGACTTCTCGATCTTGAGCAGACTTCTCGAGTAGACTTCTCAATCTCGAGCAGACTTCTCAAGCATACTTCAGTTGCATACATAATATTTAGAGATTTTAGTTTACTAGTAATTTCTTATGCCAGTTTTAAGATTTATAATTAGTGATCCTTAAATGTTTGTTTGTTTAGAGGGTTATTTTCTATGTAATGTTGAATTGCATTGAATGTTATCTATGTTTATCTATTCTACAAAATAGACTTCTCCTGTCTCGAGTAGACTTGTTAAAGACATTAATTTTACATTACTTATAAGTGATTCAGAGGGACATTTCTCCCATTTATATCATATAACTTGTCAACCGAATAGACTTCTCTTGTCTCGAGTAGACTTCTCCTGTCTCGAGTAGACTTCTAAAAGACATTAATTTTACATAACTTAAAAGTGATTCAGAGGGACATTTCTCTCATTTATATCATATAACTTGTCAACCGAGTAGACTTCTCTTGTCTCGAGTAGACTTCTCCTGTCTCGAGTAGACTTCTAAAAGACATTAATTTTACATAACTTAAAAGTGATTCAGAGGGACATTTCTCTCATTTATATCATATAACTTGTCAACCGAGTAGACTTCTCTTGTCTCGAGTAGACTTCTGAAGTAGACTTCTCATTGTCTCGAGTATACTTCTTAAAGACATTAATTTTACATAACTTAATGGTGACAACATTCACCCTCCTTTGCTATTCGCCCTCCTTTGCCAACATTCACCAAGAAGCTCACCATGTGTGCAACCATCTTTTAAGAACAACATTCGTCCTCTTTTGCTATTACCCACCTCAAACTGCCACACTGATTCACTCTTAACCCATTCTCCATAAACAGCGGGTATGTGAGCCATTCTCTGTGAAAAAAGAACAAAATCCAAACCACATTAGACATCAAAATTGCATAAATAAACTTCTCTGAAAGTCGAATGAAGTCTACATAGTAGACTTCTACAGTAGACTAAGAAGTCTACTCTTAATAAGCTAAGTATCATATAAAACATGAAAACTCATTCGACTATATCTATAAAATATAAACATGCAAAACTTATACATAAGCAAGAAAACTTAATAACAGAAGCTTAAGATCACGAAAATCTTAAACATTCGTTATATATTGTATAAAAATGATTTTTTTTTTAAAACAAAAAAAGTAGACTTCTCGGATAAAAGTAGACTTCTCGCAGGTTAGTTTTGCAATTGCCAAAATATTAGTAGACTTCTCGGAGAAGTCTACTTTGCATAGAGAAGTCTACTCTACAAAGTCAAAGGTTGGTCAATTGCAAAAATGACCTGCTTCTAAAGAAGTCTACTCGAGAAGTCTACTCCATTTTTTTTGTTATCAAAGGAAATTGAGTAGACTTCATTTGGACCAAAAGAAGTCTACTTTTTCATGCGGTCAATTGCAAAACTAACCTGTGCGTTGACTAGTAGACTTCATTCGGACCGAGAGAAGTCTACTTTCGGAGCAGTTTCATAAATAAGTGAGAAAGATGAGGATTAGTTGGTCATTTGGATTTCCAAAAATAAAAGAAATTAATTAAAAATAATGGTAATTTCGTGAATAACTGAAACTATGAAGGATTGTTTGGACACAAAATGACAAATGTTGGGAAGGTGATTTTTGTGGGTTAGATTTGCAATTTAAATCAAATTTTAGATCATTTTTGCAAGAATCCCTTGATAAAACACACATTTTCGGTTTTATCTAATAACACGGCAATTGTAACCTAATGCTTTATATGAAAAGCAAAGAAGAGTTTAAGATCTTTTGAACTTCAGAGAGAGGAAAAGAGAAAAATGAACATAAAAACTTCATTTCTTTCTTCTCTGAACTTATGATTTTATAAAAAGAATGAAATTATCTATTTATAGGGAAAACCTTACTTCATAGTGAAGTAAGCTAATCTATAAAGACAAAACATATAGATAAGCATTATCCAAAACATATAGATAAACATTATCTAAAACTTATGGATAAACATTATCCTTTAATATGCTAATGTATAAAGACAAAAGCAAATGGATAATCACTATCCATTTAACACTCTTTCTTGATTATCCATCACTAATGATGTATTACGTACTGCCTTGTTAAAAACCGTATCATGGAAAAACCCGTGTGGGATAAAACCATGACAGGAAAAAGAGTGCAGTAGTGCTCCCCCTCAAAATGATGCCTGAGTATCCATCGCTGTGAAGTTGCGTGCTGCCTTGTTAAAAACTTTTCCATGGAAAAACCCAATGGGATAAAAACCATGATAAAGGGAAAAAGAGTACAACAAAAGCAAACTCCCCCTGGAAAAGATGGATCTCATCCTCTCTTCACAAATCTCGTAGATGCCGTATTCCAATACTATGAACATGTTTCTTGAATGTTGTAGTAGGAAGCGCTTTTGTAAAGAGATCAGCTGCGTTGTCACTTGAACGAACGTACTGAATATCCACTTCCTTTTTCTTCTCGAGCTCTTGAGTATATGAAAAAAATCTTGGAGGGATATGCTTCGCTCTATCGCTCTTGATATAACCTTCCTTAATTTGAGCGACACAAGCAACATTGTCTTCAAACACTTTTGTGGTTCTTTATCTGTGATTATTCCGCTTGCTTCTTGTATGTGATGAGCTATCGACTGAAGCCATACACATTCTATGCATGCTTCATGAAGCGAAATAATCTCCGCATAGTTTGAAGAAGTCGCGACCAAAGTTTGCTTTTGAGATCGGCAAGAGATCGCAGTTCCACTAAATGTGAAAACATATCCAGTTTGCGATCGAGCTTTATGCGGATCCGATAGATATCCTGCATCTGCAAAACCACCTAGATCAACTTCGGGGTTTCTAAAATAATATAATTCAAATTCAATTGAAACTTGAAGATAACGGAATATATGCTTTATTTCATTCCAATGCCAGCGCGTTGGTGATGAACTATACCTTGCAAGTAAGTTAGTAGCAAAAACTATATCTGGTCTAGTACAATTTACAAGATACATAAGGGCACCGATAGCGCTCATATAAGGCACTTCAGGACCTAATATTTATTCGTTACCTTCACAAGGTCGAAATGGATCCTTGTCAATGTCAAGTGGTCTATTGACCATTGGAATACTCAAAGGAGTCGCTTTATCCATACTAAAGCGTTTCAACACTCTTCTGGTGTAATTTGATTGATGCACAAATATTCCAGCTTGGAAATGCTCTATCTGGAGCCCTAGACAAAATTTTGTCTTTCCAAGATCTTTCATTTTGAACTTATCTTTCATATGAGCTCTAGCATCATCAATCTCCTTTTGAGTTCCAATCATGTTCAGGTCATCAACATATACAGCAATGATCACAAATCCTGATGCGGATTTCTTAATAAACACACAAGGGCATATCGCATTGTTGACGTAACCTTTACTCAACAAATACTCACTTAAGCGATTATACCACATGCGTCCGGATTGCTTTAATCCGTAAAGTGATCGCTGTAGTTTGACCGAACATAGCTCTTTAGATGCTTTAGGGATCTTTGATTCTTAAGGGATCTTAAATCCTTCAGTAATTTTTATGTATATGTCATTGAATGTGATTGCATCCATGACCGGGGAATATGTCTCTTCATAATCTATTCCATGTCTTTGAGAAAATCCTTGTGCCACAAGGCGAGCTTTATACCTTGTGGCCTCATTTTTCTCATTTCTCTTTCTTACAAAGACCCATTTGTATCCGAC